TATATTGTTATATATATCATTATTTGTCTAATTTCTATCATCTCAGATATTAAGTCAAATAAATTCTGAAAACCTATATTTTGGTTTTTTTCCATAGTTTTCCAAGCTCTCCCGAACATCAGACATAAAGTAAATTGTTTTTAACACATATTTTTAAGCTGGATAGGGAGTTCTGTTTATGTGTTTAATAAAGAAACTTATACAAGTGTTCAGGCCTTTCTTTCATAGGGTCACTATGAGTCACCTATGACTCTATGACAATTAACAACAATCACAACATCTTTAAAAATAAAACAGTCATTGTTGCTGTATGGAAACTGACTCATAGCTGACCCTTCAGTGGGATTTCTGAGGCTCTGAGTTGCGTGGAACGATATTGCCCATCTTTCTCCAGCAGAGACTTTCATGGGTTCAAAGCACCGGAGAGACACAAGTTGTGGCGTTGCGATGCAATTCCCTGTGGGTTACGTAAACAAAGTTAAAGGACTAGCTAAAAAAAGTAAGAATTTAAAGCCGTATTTATCTCTAAATTTGTATTGTTAACTAATAAACCTTTTCTTTTTAACCTTAAAAAATAAAAAGAGCTGAACTAATGCATTCTCAGTAAAGCCAATATCTCCATACATGGCTAGCAATGCAGACAGCACAAATGGTCTTGTTTTACCATGAAATGAAACATGTTACCTTGCCTTTGTCTTCAGATAGACATTTCATTTCAATATTTTACCTTCACATAGACAGCACAGCAGCAAGAGCCATTACTCCAAACTTGTCTTTATTTTAATGAAAACAGGTTCAGTATTCTCTGGAAAGGTCAAAACACTAAGCACATTATTATCTTTCCAAATTTTTAACAGAAAGTTACAATTCAGATGAGACAAGAAAAATACCTTTAACAGCTTTCTGAGGAAACAAAAAGGTAGCTAAAGGTTGCCTAATAAATACATTACTAAAGTTTCTTCAAAGAGCTTTCTTTAGACCTTTGGAACTGTAAGCTATTGACGAGGCCTTCTACTCCTTCATAAGTGCCTGTCGCTTCTGAAGTTCAGAGGATTATTGAATTCTTGGTGCTGATGGAAAACTTTTCCTTTCAAAGAGTGGGCTTCCTTGGCCTTTTTGCTCAGTGCTGTGTGGGAATACATCTCTTGGTTTCACTCTAGAGAAAAAGATCAACCCCCCTTTAAGTCCGTCATCTGGTGCATTGGAAAGAATGGGAAGGGAACAGCTTTGGTGATTGGTTTACTGTTTCTTTCCTTAAATACATACTATTTTCCTGATCCTGCATTGCCATAAAACTGGGAATGCAAAACCTCAGATGCAGTAGACAGCATGAAAGGAGGAAGAATCTTTGACAAAGCTAAGAATCTTTCTTCTCACCTACTAATGTCAGACACATCAGTGAAGAAGCAGAGTGTTCAGTCCTCAACTTTGCTTAAACTATAACTGCCAGTGACCTATTGATAAGGAGAGATTGGGACAAGAGATTTACCATTTTGAAAACCCAATGGAGGTTCACAATGAATCAGAATTGTCACAGTGATGTTTAGAATAACCAATATGGCAATTAAAATGAAAAAGAAAATGAGAAGGAAGAAAAGATGAAAGAAATCTCCAGGCCCAAATGAAGGAAAGTCTATCAAATTCATAAATTATCATATATATGATTATTATAAACCTTAGAGAAAGCCAAATGAATGTGAATAGTAACAATAATATTATGCACTACCTGTACAATTAGAAAGTTCTGAAGGCCTAGTGGCAAGAAACTGCTACAATCTCAAAGGCGCACAGTTCATGCCCACCTGCTGCTTTGCAGGAGAAATGTGGGCAGTCTCTTCCCATGCAATTAACTGTCTCTCGAAACCCACCGGAGGGTCAGCTATGGGTGGGTGTTTACTCAATGGTACACAACAATACTAACACATGTATGATTAACTGCCCCAAAAGACCTGCTGGAGAGTCAGCTATTCATCGGTTCTGACACGATGGCACCACAACAATGTTGGTAATGTAGTCCATAGAAATTGGCCATGTAAACCCAAAAACCCAGCCTCTCTGGTGGTTCAAGGTACCATTAGCTCTACAGGAAAATGATTTGCGACTTCCTCTCGTACAGCCCTGGAAGCCCAGTGGAGGGTCAGTCGTATTAGTTTCCACTCAACAGCAATGAGTAAGTGAGTGCCAATGGTTGGATTCCAACTCATACGGTCTCACTGGGCTTTCCAAGGCTGTGAAGCTCTGTGGGAGGAGACTTTCTTCTATCTCCCTTAGAGAGCACTTCTGGTTAGCAGTTCAGCACATCATTCATGTACTGCGCCACCAGAACTCCTTATAACACAAACAATTATTAATATAAAGTGAAACCAGGATAAATCTTCAGAGTTTCGTTTTCCTGGGTCAAAACAAAACAAAACAAAACAAGACATATCAACCATAAGGAGAAGAAGGGTGAGATAAGGAAATAAATGGCTCTGTCTAGAAAGGACAGCATGATAGACTTTTACAATAGATTATATCAATATCAGTATCATAAACATAGTGTAAAGTGCATGTGATATCTCTATATCATGCTTACAACCTTAAGTGTATCTACACTTATTTCCAAATAAAATGTTTATTTTAAAAATATGCAGACAATGAACTGCAAATACACCACTAAAATGTTGCTGTTAGATTCCGTCAAGTTGATTACAATTCATAGCAGCCCTGTGAAAAACAGATCTGAACTCTGTCCTTGCCTGTAATGTGCACATCATCTCTGACACACCTGAACCCATTGCTGCAGTCACCATGCCACTAAAATAGCAAATAAAAATGTGCACGCAGGAGCAATGATTTTTTAAATTATTACCTAACTTGGGAGGGACTGGAGAGCATGATGCTCAGTGAACTAACTCAGTCCCACAAGGACAAATATTGCATAAAACCATTACTGTAGTATAAGGATTCAAGGGGCGTGGAGAGGGTGGAAGCAGAGGGATAAGGATGTGTACGGGGGGTATTAATCATGGGGTTGTACAATTTGATGGGTGGGGGGTGAGGGAAATTGGAAAAATATGTTCTGGAAAATACATATGCGAATTTTGTAAATATACTAGTATAAAAAATGTAGAAAAATGTATGTAGCTCAGAAGTCACTTAAACAGCTCAAATCGTAAAAAGCGAGTTAATATGATATGTAGAAGATAAAGAGAATAAACTGGAAAGAGATAGCAGGTGATCAATTTAATGGTAGACATACCTCTTTTCACATTGAATTAGTGGTGTTGTTTTTATGTGCCATCGAGTCGTTTGCGACTCATAGCGACCCTATGTACAACAGCCCTAAACCATGCTCTATCCTGTGCCAGTTGCGTGGCCTCTGACACACCCATCCTGATTACCCCAGTCACTGACTCAATCCACCTCATAGAGGGTCTTCCCCTCCTGCACTGTCCCTCCATCTTACCAAGCATAATGTCCCTCTCCAAGGACCTGTCCCTCCTTACTACATGTCCAAAGTATGTCAGACAAAGCCCCAGAATCCTTGCCTCCAAGGAGCAGCCTGGTTTAACCCTCTCTAGGATGAATCTGTTTTCTTGTCAGTCCAGGGTACATTCAATACTTTCCTCCAGCACCACAGTTCATAGAAATGGTTTAAATAGCCCAATATAAATATCAGTAATTTTAGACAAGATTAAAAGTCAAGAGCAAATATATTCTTTTAAAAGCAGAGTTGATATAGAAGACTGACCCTTGCTCATATTTGTGTAAAGGGTTATGTGGCTGCATAGACACAGTGTATGGATCTTCACAATATGGAAGACGCTACATGCAGGGAGGGGCAGGTGATGATTTAGACAACCCAAGTAGCCTGACACAAATCACTTCACAATAAACTCTTTGAGAAATAACTTTATTTTTAAAAGGCTCATATTAAAATCACAAGTTTGGACACAAATTTCTAATTTATTTTTAACTTTACTCGGTGTTTTCAGCTGCAGAAGGAATGGTGTGCAACCATCTGTGTTCCAGTGATGGCTGTTGGGGACCAGGACCAGACCAGTGCTTGTCCTGCCGACGTTTCAGTAGGGGGAGGACCTGCATAGAGTCTTGTAACCTCTACGATGGGTAAGCTCCTTCCTTATAAAGCTGCCTTTGCTTCATGAGCTTTGAGATAGTGATTTTTTCAGATACAGAGAATCCAAGAGAATGACAACATTTCAGAATGTACTTGCAAAGAGTTTTCATGAGAACTGTCATGTAAAGGGTACTACTTACTACTTATCATATTTCAAGAGAATATAATTATATTTGAAATACTGAGATGTGGTTCAATGCATATTGATGAGGAGCTCTGGCAGTGGAAGTCATAGTGGCGGAGTCCATTGGGAATTTTACTGCTAACTTGAAGGCAAGCACATCTTCAAGTTTTAACCCACCAGCGTGTCTGCAGGAGAAAAGTACATCGTCTACTCCTGTGTGGTTGCTTCATAGCCTCTCAGACCCGCTCAGAGGAAAGCTATGAGTTGGTTCTGACTCAACAGTCATTCATTAGTTTGTTGAGTATACCTATTACTTTAGAAGCATGTTTCTGTTGTTATGTGCTGTCAGGTCAGAACCAACTTCTAGAAAACATCAGCATGTTTTCAGAGGCTGTAACTTGCACAAGAGGAGATTTGCCCATCTTTCTTTGATGGAACAGCTATCTGAACCACTTGCCTTGTGACTTGACAGTACAACTCTCTACCACTGTTGTTTTGTACCCTCAAATTGGAACCAACCCATCGCCGACCCTCCAGCATGTGTTCAGAGGCAGTCTGATTGCATAGGAAGAGATTGCCCATCTTTCTCATGTGGAGCAACTGGAAATTTGAACTGTGTTCCTTATTTATCTTTTTAGGGAGACTATTAAAACTAATTTCACTTAGATTTATAGTTTTCCTGTTTATTTTATTGGAAGTTGCAGCATCTTTTAAATGTTTTTTCTCTAGATCTGTATTTGTGCATGAGGACGGACCCACATTTGTATGTATTTAACAATAGCCTGCCGTTGTTGTTGTTAAGTACCATCAAGTCAGCATCAATCATGGCTAACCCTCCAGTGGGTTTTCAGAGGCAGTTAATTGCACGTGAGGCGATTGCCCATCTTTATCCTGTGAAGCATCTGGTTGATTTGAACTGTGCCATTGGGCTGCCAGTGCGGCTTCTTACCGCTAGCTTAACCCTACAGAAAAACTACCTGGACAATTTCTAGTCGAAGAGGTTCTTTAAAGGGTCTCTTTTACCCTCTAGAGAAAAACCTAAACTGTTTTCAACCAAGCATTTTCATGTCCCTCTCCTGTTATTTGCCATCATGTCAGCTCTCCACTCAGAATGTTATAGGAGGTAGAACAATTTTATAACATTTGAGGGACTGTAATCTCTAGGGAAGCCATTTTCCAAACCTTTCTTCAATTGACTATTTTTTTTTTTTCATTTTAGTTGTTTGAACCCTATCCTTTAAGTTAGGAACCTACTGCAAACTGCTTATAACATCTTAATCCAAAAACCAAACACATGAACACAATCTTACCTAAAAACACACTCCCAGCCATGGAGTTACTTCTGACTCATAGCCACTCCACTGAGTTTGTAATGCTGTAAATATTTTTCGCAGGAAGTTGCCCTTCTTTATCTCACTAGCAGCTGGTGGATTTGAGCTGCTGATCTTCTGATTAGCTGCCCAATGCCTCTATATGTGACTCCCACATGATATCACCTTTTCGTCTCTTTACTGATAGGTCAGAACCTACTCATTGCTGACTCTCAATTGGTATCTGAGACTCACAGGCTGCAAATCATAGAGAGACTGCCCTTAAGCCACTGGTAGATTTGAACTGCCAGAAAACACATCTGAGTTAGCAGCACAACCAGAACTGTAGAATTCACAATTCTTGTCACCCGAGAACTGATTCCACACCTCTACTTGTGGTGGTAGCTAATTCTCTTTCAGTTTAGCCTGATGATGAAGGTAGGATTTGGATAATGGATTCAAAATAACTGCTTACTGGTTGAAGTATCAAACAGGACAATCTTTTTAAAGTCAGCTTATAGAATGGTTGTGATCAAATGAGAAAATGTGTAAGAAAGTTTTTCCACAATTCCTGTCACAAGAATAATATTTTCTTTTCACATCTATTAATCTGAGCTGATGGAATGAGTAAATAGGTCAGCCATTTTAAAGACTTAAGAAAAGAATGTGAGTATGACATTTACTGAAAGCAGGGAACCTATTTTATTGAAAAAGTTGGTCGTCAGTTCAAAGAAGAAATTTCTGAGGACAGCTTTAAAGGAAAAAAAAAAATCAATGATTTTATTTGATTAACACTCCAGCATATTTAAACCACCATATCGTAGCAACTTTAAACCACCGTGCACAAGTGATCAAGTTGATGGACAACTATGCGATAGGATCTTAAGACATTAGTGATCTGACATTTTGTTTCCATTCTTCTCAAATTTAGAACATTTCAGAAATTAAAAAAAACAAAAACAAACAACCCAACCATGTAAGGTCTCTGCAGACAACTTATATTTCATGAATTTAAACTTTCAGTGACATGCTAGGTTTTTGGTTTGTTTTTGGTTTTGACCTATGAGATTTAAGGAATGGTAATCTAGAGAACTGAAGATGTTAAAAGGTTAAAACTATTAGTATTAATGTTTAAATTTAGAAATTTAAATTGAAGATAGACTTGACTACAAAATATATGATCAGGGCCATAGAATTGGTACAGGTAGTATGCAGTTTTGGAAGGAGGAGTGGCATTCACTTCCTTAATGACGTGTGTCCGGAAACTCTGTGAACTTTGATAAATGTTGATTGTTGTAAAGGGGCTTTAAGCCTTTTGTTCATAGGGTCGCTGAGTCTTGCCTGACTCGAAGGCAATCATCATCAACAACAACAACCGTACACGGTTAGGGAGCACTGATGACCTAGTGGCAAGATGCTACGTTGCAATTCCCAAGGCAAGCGGTTCAAATCCAATAGCTGTTCCACAGGAGGATGGGAAGTCTCCTCCCCTGTAATTAACTGACTCGACAATACACAATAACAACAAGAGCAACAATTTTCAAACCCCTAGTTTGATAGTTTACAAGCACCAGTCTTCCCTGGAAGAAATATGTGACATTTTTCTTCCTTAAAGATTTACTGCCTTGGGAATTTTACATGGTAGATTTTCAGATTTGGGACATTTTTTCCTGTCCTACAGGGACACTATGAGTCAGAGCTGACATGATGGCAACAGGTGTCTCTTTGAATTTTGTGTTTTGTGATTTTTTTTAAGTACATACAGCAAAATGTGATGTACAGTAGCAACAAAAATCCAAAGCAGTAACAACGAAACAAAAAGACATATTCTACATCAGTAGTTCAGTAGTCTGTAGCTTGTAAATTTTTATTTAAATGAAAGGAAACATCTGCAAAGCCATAGAAGAATAACTAGGAGACAGTGAAGAAAAAGGGCAGTGATACAGGAAATGTTAAGAAAGGGCAGGAAAGAAGGATTGTAGGGAGTAGAAGAGTCTGAAATCAGACAGTCTCTGTAGTCTCCGTGGAAGGAGAAGCAGCTGGCATGTCTCCAGGAAGCCCTTATACAGGTACATGCAGTGTAAGCCTCAACTCTGCCCAGAAGAAGGGCTTCAGAGAAAGAGAAGAGGAAAATGTTGCTTAGAATCTACTATTAGAAAAATTATTACTTTCATTTAGCATAACTCTTTTACTATCAATTCTTTTAATTCTGTTTATCTCTCTCAGCCCCCTATTTCAGGCCATTTTTACTGTCATTTTCTCAAGTGTCCCTATACTGAAGACTTTCTAACATTCACATAGGAAGAATAAACACATGTTCCCATTATTGTGCTAAGGTAATTGAAACTTTACACACCAGAAAGTTTATAAAGTATTTGGTCCATTACAAACAAACAGTTCATCTTAAAAATACATTGCTTACATAATTATCAGTTTATACTATTCAGTTTGAAAAATGAGACTTTATTTTGCCTAGGAGTATGTATGACCATAATCTAACTAACGAAGATATAGCTTATTCTTTGAACTTCTTCTATAGCTTAAACTAAAAAACAAATCTCAAACTCATTGCCATCAAGTTGAACCAACCCTTAGTTGACCCTCCAGCAAGTTTTCAGTGATTATAAATCTGCAGTTGAAGATTGTCCATCTTCCTGTTTCCTAACACTGTATTATAACCAAATGAGACAGTTGGCTCTGGGGTGTGGAGGAGGGGAGAAGTAGATAAAATATTCTAGATAAAAATATATTGATATATCTAACCTGTATTTGTAAATACATCTCATGAATCTGTATTTTATATATTTACAATGGTGTTGGTTTGGGGTAGTAGCTCAGGATACAAAGCCAAAAATAATAAAGTGGATATATTTAGTCATTAATACTACCTCACAAATGGTATTCTAAATCCTCTTTACCTGGTAGTTCATCCTTGGATACATTAAGTGGGATGTGGGTAGTTAAAACTGCTGTAAATGACTTGATACTCAATTATTGAAACAGCAGTCTTAGAGTAGAAATTTCTTGGAAATGTCTATATTGATTGTGTTTATGGCACAAATGACCACAGAAATGTAAAAATATGAGAAAGCATGACCCATTACTCTAGGAAATTCCAAAGAGAAGGTTTTAAGAGTTTGCCTTTAAACAAACTATTTTTTTAATTTTGTACCACACAAAAGTACTTCAGACAGGACTTAAACCAAAAAAGTTGTTTTGATATTACATCTGTAATCTAGAGGAACAAAATCTACCCTTTAAGAATGATTTTTCTCTAATTTTCCAAGCAGAGATATTTTTTAAAATAGAAATTAAAGTGTTTTTTGAAGTTTCACCAAAAAGGAATTCAAGGGTCTTGAGATTTGAAGGACAAATAAAGGAAACATTCACATAACTTAGCAACAAAAAGAAAAAAAAAAACCAAAAAACAACGCAATACTTCTTCCAGAGTGTAAAGAACAAAGCTGCAGCCAGGAATAAAATTTTATGTACACAGAAACTCCTGGAAAATTTCTACAACTCCTAGAAGTACAGGCATGGCTATATTAAACATGGCTGTGCTGTGTTGTGAGAAGTGTTCCACTTCTTTCTGGGACAGCTACAATACCTCTCACGGGAGAGCAGTCACTTGAACGAATCTCACTCTGAACCCCACAGACGGCAAGGAGAGCCATCTGGCTGCAGTTTCTCTTCCCTCCGACTGGAGAAGTTATTCTTAATGGGCACGGAAATGTCTCTGATGCTCCTGGCATTTAGAGAAACAAACTCCAGAATTTACTCTCCCAATAGGACTTGAGCAGATGTTACTTCATTTGTTAAGTTGACAGCTTGTTTGCTTACACTGCCTCATGCAGCCGATGTTTTCACAGTGAATTTCGGGAGTTTGAGAACGGTTCCATCTGTGTAGAGTGTGACCCCCAGTGTGAGAGGATGGATGAAGGTATCCTCACGTGCCATGGACCGGTAAGCCTGAAACACCTTTGGTGGCCACAGCCTTTTATTTAGTAGCATTGTATGGATGTTTGTTTTTTCATTGTGTTGTCATTTACCCATTCATTTGTTAGGTATTTATTGCATGCCCTGACCTCCCCCCAAGAAAAGAAATTACTATTCTGCTCTTAAGACACTTACATGTTAGTTGTAGAGATATAATATCCATTTCATAAATATTTATGCAATTAAGGCTGTAATATTCCCTAAATAACACATTTGTGGAGAAAAATAAGGTGTGGAATTTCCCTGGAAGTTTGCACAGTATTGGGGGTTGAGGGAGAGAAAGATACAAAAGCAACTAGGTTGAAAACAGTGATTGACAAGATGCAAGTATGCAGATATTGGAGCAGGAACTCAGCTTAGGAAACACTTTTCTCTTGGAGATGTAAATTGGGGCATCAAGGAAAGCTATAGATAAGTGACATTTGAGAGTTATTTGAATAGGACCCTGGAGAATGAAACCTTGCAAAAAAAAAAAAGGCAAACATGAAGTCTATGTTGTGTTTAGAGAAAAATGTAACATGTTTGTATCTGCATTAACACATTTAACTAACACACAAATGTAGAGGGTCTTTGGAAAAGAAATGAATATTCATAAGCTAAAAATTGCATTGACGTAGTATTATGGCCCAAAGAAGAACTGAGCTGTGAGAACCAAGAAAGTACTATAGATTAGGAAATACTTCCCATGAGGTGACATTTAGTCTGAGGACAGCTTCAGAAAGAAAATGGCATCTAGTTTTTCAATTTCCCTTTGGTTTTCACCATTGTCATTTTTCTTAATGATGAAGTCAGTATGAGTTTGTCATTCCCAAGAGTCATATTCATCCTTCTTTAGAAAAATTTCCAGTTTATCTGTATTATTGAACCATCTCTCAGTAAATTATTTGGGGGCCACTATTTAGATGTAGTGAAGAGCTCAATTTTGTTCCATAAGAATCCATTTGAATCTCAAATAGTATGATTTTTTTTCTATCAAAGTGCTTAATATGCACTTATTTAGCTTAGAAAAAAATATCATGAGCCCTTCAAACTTCCATTAGGCCCCATTGAGTCGATCTGGAACTTCATCTAGAGAAGGATGTGGAAACTTGGACAGTTCAGAGGACCACAGCAAGAATGATTAAGCTTGGAAAATCAGACCTGTGAGAAAAAGAAGTACTGTTATTTGGCCTGAAGACCCAAAGTCTAAGAGACAAATTAATATATAATGATCTCCATGTAAGTATGCACAGGGCTATTTTATCTGTCCTCTAAAGATAGTTGTGGAAAATATTATTATTCTGCAGCATGAAAACGTGAGTTTTATAAAGAATGCCATGGAATGCAGGGACGTAAACTACTGTAATGAGTTGTTAATGGAAGTCGAGAGATCTCGAAAAGACCTTTAAAATTAAAATATTTAGGCACATTCTTGACCATAAGTCATAAAATTACTTTCATATAGTCTGAAAGTTTAAAAATGTGAAATGAAAAATAAAAATCAGGTACAACAATTATGGAAGGCTATTTGGTATTTAAAAAAAAGAAAAAAAAAAACACCCAAAACTGAGTATAGAAAACCCACATGACCCGGCTATTGCACGGCTAGGATTATACACTAAGGAAATGAGAACAGAAACGCAAACAGAGATATGTACACCTATGTCTATAGCAGCGTTATTCATCATCAGAGGAATGTGGAAACAGCCCAGATGCTCATCAACAAATGAATGGATTGAGAAATTGTGGTATATCCACACAACGGAATACTATGTAGCTCTAAGTAACCACGATTTTGTAAAATACTTTAGAACATTGGAAATTCTAGAGAGCATTCTGCTGAGGGAAGTAACTCTGTCTCATAAGGACAAATTCTGCATAAGACCAGTATTATAAAGAATAGAAGGATAACTAATAAGATGTACATAAATGTCCAAAACAGGAAGGGAACAAGAGGAAGGGGACAGAAAAAGGGTCAGAGTGGAAATCACTAGGGTAACAGAGTTCACTGGGCAGACTTGGGGGAGGGGTCGGGAATGGAAATGATTCAATGGGTACTTGAAAGGGTGGTGAAATAATAGGCATAGATCAATGGTAATTGATTATATGGGATATAGTAATATGATTGATTGCATAAAATGCAATAAAAATAAGGCATTTTATGGTACACAGTGTATAGGAATGAAATCCATGTAAGTGAATTATTTTATGAAAACAAATTCTAAAATTCATAAATTTTAGTATCTCCTCAAAATAAGGTAGAAAATGATCATATGTATCATATTGCATATATTGAATATAGATTTAATGTGTCTTTATTAAACATTATAAATCACTGTATAAAATACTTTTTTATCCAACTGCACTAATATTTTGCATAGATTTCTTTTTCTAATTTAAACTTTTTCCATAAACATAATTTCCTTTTCTTTGACTAACCTATCAATTGAATGCATTCTCCCAGACCTCTTATTTAGTAACTACTTTATGCCAAGCTATCCCAATGTATTTATAATTACATTCTGGCGTGATAGCATAATTTTTTTTAAAAAAATCAATGTAGAGATATTTCTCTTTTTTCTTTAATTTTTTTATTTTTTTTAAATTTCAGTGAACATCTACAGAGATTTCTTAAAGCCAGTCCATTGATATTCTTTTTTTGCATATTTCATTTTCTTTTTCATAGCATTAATCTTTTCTCTATCTAATGACTTCTGTATACTTAAAATGAGTTACAACTAAGAATAATTTGACCTTTCTTGAGATTATTGTTATTTTAAAAGATCATTTATCCTCATCAGATAGTATCAGATAGTATTTTTTGTTCAATTAATTCAAGGTAGAAAACTTGAGTTGCTACAAAGTGGTTTAAGTGTGTTCATTAGTAAACCATTTTTTTTTTAACTTTAGACATAAGGAATTAATGGATGTAGGGAAGACTGGGGCATGCCCAGCCAGGGTGTTTAGTTCCTGGGGGCAGGTCCAGTTACAGAAAAAAAAAAAAAACAGGGAAATGAAGGTGTGGGCAGACAGCAGATTTGGTCTTGAACTTGGGAGATAGAAAAGTGATGCTCCTTGAGCCTCAGGAATGGGGAGCAGCAGAAAGAAAGCCATGTCTGAGGGGGGCCTGGGGACCCAGAGGGGGAAAGGGAAGCAGCTCCCCACCCCTCAGTGCTGAGGAAAAGGCACTTGGCTCAGTCTCCTGCCTGCATCCATCCATGAAGCAGATGGGGGTGGGTCCTGAATCCCTGGCCCCTTTTAAGGGCCCTGCAGTCGCTCCTGGTTGAGTTTCTGGAAAAACCTTTTGCCAAACTCGTAAGTGCTCATCATGATGGCACAGGAGGGGGCGGCCTTGGTGATCCTTGGGAGGAAGGCTGCAAACAATCCCTTGGTCCCTGACTCAGCTCGGATCCTCCGCAGCAGCACCCAGGTAGAGTCCACACGTGGACGCCTCACTCTCTGGACCTGGCGTTGAGTCTTCACCACATCAAAAGGCAGAGTCAGGATGGCTGCCACCGTCCCTGAGATGCCGCCAGCTATGAAGCTGATGCCCACAGATGTCTGGTCATTTGGCCTGGACCCACTTAGCCAGCTCTTCACCAACTCGTAGTTGAATCAATATAGAGCCGAGAAGGGCACATCCCAAAGGGCAGTGGGCCCCCAGCCCAGCCACAGAGAGCGCCAGCCTCCCTGAGCCACTGCAGCCTGGACAGACCCTCAGCTCCCTGTACGACACATGCTGAGCCTGCAGCTTCGTCTGCACCAGCTCACAGTCACTGCGTCCAATGGGGCCAGAGCGCCAGCCACCATGGGTGCATAGAGGTCAGAGGTCAAGTTTCGCCCACACAGGAAGGTCTTGAGCGGTGAAGTAAATGGCGGTGGCCGGCACAGTCATCACCAGGGTGGCTGGGAGGCTACTCCAGAGGGTCCTGGTGCCCTCATGCCTCACAATCTTTACAAAGGCATCCATGGTGCCAGTGAAGCGGGTGGGATTCTGAAACCAGGTGGCACAGCGGGGGCCCCCTTTGGGCACAGGTACACTGGCTCCAGGACTCTATTGCAGTACAGAAGACACTTCCCAGCAGGTTGGAGAGGGGACGACAGTTTGGTGTAGATGCTCCACAGTCTAGAGGGAGGTGTTGGCTCACTGGGACTGCAGACGCACCTTCACAGCGTCCAGAGATGTCATAAAGAGAGAGGTGACTGTCGCCCCAGTGCCTGAAGCCACCATCTGCTGGAGGAGGCTAATGCCCCCTGGGTCTTGGTCAGCCATCGTGAAGAGTTTCGATCCTGATTCCAGGCCGGTGCTCACGTGGCTCGGGCCCGGGGCCCAGCGAGCCCAGAGCGGCTGCACGGCCACAGCAATGACCCGCGCGTTCTCCTTGCAAAGAGCTAAATCTTTTTTTTTTTTTCATTTAAATTGATTTACTACAATAATGGTAGTGTGTAAAAGACATATAAGAAATTTTATATTTGCATTGATTTTTTTCTTTTAAATTTGTTACTAATTTCAATGAAAATTTACAGAGACTTTGGGTTTCTGTTCATTCATTGTTGTACTTTTCTCCCTTCCCAACACTCTCCCCAGTACACTACCCTCTTGGAAAAGTAAAAGAAAAATTCTTTCATTATTTTACAATCCCTCCCCTGAGGTCCCCTCCACTGTACAGCCTTCACTCTGGACTCCTGTCATGACAAAAATCCCTGATAATTTTCCCTCTTAAACAGTTTTCTCCCTCATCTGTTTCAATGAGGTATACACTACTGAACCCATCCTTCTCAGTCTCCTCCCAACCCTGAGGTCAGTTCTGCTTTACAACAGTGGCACCATGCAGTATTTGTCCTTTTGTGACTGAGATACTTCACTCAGCATAATGTCCTCCAGGGTCACCCATTTTGAATAATATTGCATGAGTTCCTTGTTTTTCAATGCAGCATAGTATTCCATTGTGTGAATATACCACAGCTTCTCTAGCCATTCGTTTGTT